CACAGGAACAGAGGGTTCTGGAGACATCACTGATGATTTTCCTCAAGAGTCAACCATCAGAGCAACTACTTTCTCTTCATTGTCGAGTACAAAGTCACCATCAGTGACAGCATCACATGAAACTGGAACAAGTGACACTTTGAAAACAGCTATTACCAGAGCTTCATCATTATACAGTACTGAGAAACCAACATCTGGATCAGCTAAAACTCAAGATACTGTTACGACAAGTCTAACAAGTAAAACATCAGCTACACCAGAGATAAGTCCTAGTTTCCCAACATTAGAGGAAGAGAGCTCAGTAGAGCAAACTACTAAAATGTCCAGCAAAGACACTACGGTTCCTACATCTTCTTCGTTGTTTAGCACTGAGAAATCAACTGTTCTTTCCATTGGGGAACAAGCCAGTGCTACCACAGCTCAGACAGAGAGGTCTTCAGTCTCTGCAATAACTGATAAGACGGTACAAAGTGCCATGGTCACTAAAGCAGCTGAAGATGGCTCAGGTGACCAAACATCTGACATGTACACTGATATCTCTTCCCTCATAAATGTCACAAAACTGCCATCATTTACAGGAGAACCATCCATTTCGCCATCCTCTGATGAGACACTCACAAGCTCAATGACAATGTCTCCAAGTTGGGCATCTGTTAAATCCTCTGTTATGGAAATGGATGATGATTCTATCAGCAGTATATCTACAATGGTGGAGTCCATTCCTTCATTCAGTGGACCAACCATGGGCCCTGGAACTGCATCATTGGCAGTTCAACCAACCACTCAAGCTGAAAAGTCTGGAGACAGCAGTGTTGATTTCACCGCAGAGTCCTTACTTCAGGCAACCACTCTGTCCTCAATGTTAAACACTGAAACTCCATCAGTGACTGCCACAAGTCAAACAGAAAGATTGTCAGCTACACCAGAGACAAGTTCTACTCTCTCAAAAACAGATGAAGATGGCTCAGGTGACCAAACCCAATACATGTTCACGCAGTCTTCGTCTGTCACGTCTAAAACCTCTCTGTTTAGCACTGAGGCACCAACTGCAACATCTCCGGTTACATCATCTGCTGTTTCAGACATTAAGGATCAAGACATTAGCAGTGGAACTATAAAGGCTGATTCAGTTCTTACCTCAATTGGATCAACCCTTAAACCGGAAACATCATCATTGCTCATTCCCACAGGAACAGAGGGTTCTGGAGACATCACCCATGATTTTCCTCAAGAGTCAACCATCAGAGCAACTACTTTCTCTTCATTGTCGAGTACAAAGTCACCATCAGTGACAGCATCACATGAAACTGGAACAAGTGACACTTTGAAAACAGCTATTACCAGAGCTTCATCATTATACAGTACTGAGAAACCAACATCTGGATCAGCTAAAACTCAAGATACTGTTACGACAAGTCTAACAAGTAAAACATCAGCTACACCAGAGATAAGTCCTACTCTCTCGAAAACAGACAGCACTGACAATTTCACTAAAGCGCCCTTCACCACAGTAACTGCTGTCTTATCAATGTCTAGCACAGATTTGCCACCAATCACAGCATCACGTGAAACTGAAACAAGTAAAACTTCAGCAATCCAGATCATTGAAGATTTGGAGACAAGTTCTACAATTAGTTTTTCAGAAGAAGACGGCTCAAATGGGCACACAACTGCAATTCTAACAGAGGAATCATCCACTCTGTCTTTTGTGCCAACTACTGACCAAAAAGGGAATCCAAGCAGTCACTCAGCTATAGTTATTGGCAGCTCACGGGAAACAGTTACTGCATCTCCTAGCTCCACAAGCCCATCCATTCCTATAATCGATGAGAGTGAGTTGATTTATCAAACCACCACTGTTGCTGGTAAAAAAAGCACTTTTTCTTCCATGTTCAGCACAGAAAGACCAACAGTAACCACAGGATTACTTGAACCTGACCAAATTTATACCTCTGAATCTACTATTACGTCTCCTCCAACTGACATCTCATCATCCTCTTTGTTCAGCACAGCGAAACCTATGATCACAACTGTTGCAAGTGTGGCAGCCACAAAGACAATGACAGATATTACTTCATCTCTTCACAGTACTGAAAAACCTAAAGTGGTTTCAGCGAGCACAATGCATGCAGAGGGCTCTGGTGACCAGTTCACTGATATGTCGGCTCAGATCTCAGCTGTGACAGATTCTTCGGTTGCAACCTCCTCTCATGGCACTAAAATCATTGACGTTTTAAAATCTCAAGTAACCATAGCTTCTTCTCTCTACAGTACTGAGAAACCCACACTAGTACCACCAACTGCATCCATCGAATCTAAAACCAAAATCCCATTTTCTACAGCCACAGATACAATTGAAATAGCTGAGACTCAGACCACATCACAACCTATTGTTGAATCATCATCCCAAACTACTTCACTGTTGATGAAAGAAGACTCTACAGATGTTACCCACTTTTCTACCACAATTGAGGCTACTTCTGTATCAGACTCTGACACATCTGAATCCACAGATAAAACTCCAACAACAACAGCCTTTGATCAACACACAATAATGACCTCTGAGCCATCAATTGCCTCCACTTTTATGGGAGGAGAAAGTTCAAGTGCAGGAGATTTTACAACAGTCCCAACAAGTACTTTTACCTTGGGAACCTCTCAACCCATGGCGATCCCTAGTGTCACTGTGTATACCTTAAAGGAAACCTCCACATTTATTGACATGGAGAGCTCTGGCAGCTCTACCGATGAAGATGATTTGGAATCTAGTACAGATGGATCTGGTGCAGGGATATCCATTGAGACTACCATAAAACCCCAGAAAGAATTTACTGAAGCCATAGATGAGACTGAATTTGATGACAAAGTGAGCACCCCTGACATGTTAAGTGTCGCATCCTCAACTCAATCCAACACACAGCTTACCAAGGAATTTATGACATCAACTCAATCACCACACCTGACAAGCAGTGAGCATTTTATTACTGAACAGGGCAGTGGGGTCTTCACAGATGACTCTACATTGGAGGATGAGAGTTCAGGTGATGATCTTTCTGATGGACCAACTACATTTGAACCAGTCACAAGTCATCCCCTGTCCACAACTGTTGCAGCTACAAAAGGAATCATGTTATCATCTAGTGCTGTTGCTTTTCCTGAGGAGAGCTCAAGTGACCAAACAACTGCTTTATTGGACATTAAAGATATAGAGATAAAGAGTACAGCTTCTTCCCTATTCAGCACAGAGACACCTAAAACAACAACATCATTGCATGAAAGTGGACCATATGTTTCAACATCTGCTCAAACAGTATCATCTTCTCTCTACAGCACTGAGAAACCAAACATAACAGTATATGCTGTAACATCTGCCCAGTTGGGTAACACGTCTTTATCTGCAACAGCTACATCAACACCAAGTTCAGCCTTCACATTTGGAGAAGCCACAGGTGAAACTGAAACCCTTGTGTCTTTCACAGCAACCACTGATGAGCAGGTTTCCTCACAGTCGGGGGACATTGCTCCAGATACAGAAAGACCCATCGCTTCTGAATCGACAGTGCCTTCTGTCTCAAGCATTGACCAGGAGGAATTTACTCTAGCCGAGCACATAACGCAGTCATCCTATACAACTGTCTCCCCCCATACAAAAGAAGCGTCAGTTAGTGATCACTCTGCAATTGACTTCACCACAGAAAGCTCAAGCACTGAACATAAGCAAACTGTAGGCACAATGATGTCCCCCCCTATTCCCTCCATTATATATCAAAGCATCACAGACCAACAGGTTGTCATCATTACTCCCAGTAGCAGCATAGCCAAAACTGACCTAACTGAACAAACACCTACCATGGTCCTGCATGTGTCTAAACCATCAGACAGCACAACCATCATATTCACAGAGGATGCAAAAGATGAAGATGAGCTTTTCTCTACAGCTACAGACAGTATGAGGGAAGGAAGCCCCACTCCCGAACTTATTACCAAAGATGATAATATCATTGATGCAGACACTATCTCCATAGTTCCCTCTTCTTCCTTTTACCCAACAATTCAGACAGAGGAAGCTGGAGGTGTCACACCAATTACAATGTCTCAAATGTTGGAAGTAACAGAACAATCAGAAGGTTCAGGGACTGATGCCACCTTCTTTACTCCTACACCAGTAACTTTACATGCAACCTCAATCACTGAATTGGCATTAGCCTTTTCGTCTTCAGAATATTCAACACCCACTCCAAAACCAACAATTGTGGAAGGTGTATCTAGTATGGAGACATCTAGTGAAGAGGTGGAGACATCTAGTGAAGAGGTGGTTACATCTAGTGAAGAGGTGGTTACATCTGCACCACAGGCCACTCCAGCTAACACTCTGTCCACAAATTCAGTCTCTCAAGTAACCCATTTAACTACACCATATACTGTATTTCCTAATGAGACACAATCAAAACCAGTTCCAGAGCTGGTGGACAATGACTTTTCAGGCGATGACACTGCTGATAATGTTACTGAGTCTATCACTGAGATTGCTGCTTCATCATTTGTGCCTTCTCAAACTTTAACTGAAACAACAGACTCAAGCTCAATCACACCGGTGTCAAGTGAGGAGTATATGTTCAGCACAGTAGAAAAAGAAAATAACATGACATCCTTACCCACAGCCGTTCCTGACACAAGTCATGGCCCAACAGATGAAACATTAAGTGTGACCATTTCCACGCAAACTGTTGCTGCCACACAACTTACATCAGTGTCCACTGAACCTGGCACACTCAAAACAACGAGTAAAGCTTTTAATGAAGAATTTTCAGGTGATGACTCTAGTGAATGGACAGCATCTGAGAAAACAACATCAACATCTACAGTCTCTTTACTGTTCAGCACTGAAAAACCAACTGTTGCCCCTGAACAAAGACATACAAATGGGGTGATTCCAGGTGAACAAAATCAAAGTATGTTCACTGAGGGCATAATAACAACAGATAAGGCAGAACACATCTCACCAACCTCACCTGGCACTGCCACAGGAGAGTTTACAAAGTCACCAGCAAGTGCTCCCTCTTCTCTTTATAGTACAGGGAAACCATCTGTCACTGTTTTGAAAGACGTAACTGATGCAGACACTTCAATGTATCCAACTTCTGCTCCACTAACAACTTCAACCTTCAACATGAAGGTAGAACCAGTAACATTTTCCGTGACCTCAACTGAACCTGCCATGGAGCATATAGCAATTGCAGTATCACATACTGCTTCCAGTCTTTATAGCACTGAGAAGCCAACTGTCACATCATCTCCTGATGTTACTGGGAAGGATAGCTCTGATGATTACACTGTCACAAAACCTGCAACACAAAAAGATACTCTTCTGCACAGTACAATGGACCAATTGCTTTCCACAATGACATCACCTCCTCACTACAGCACAGATACATTTTTAATCCCAAGTAACATTGATGTTGTAGGCTCTGGAGATTACCTTTCAGAAACCACAACTGCATCATCTAAGACTTTGACAATCAAGACTGAAAATACTGTGGCCCCTCCACTCTCCCATCATTTCAGCACAGAGAAACCCACCACAATGACCTTAGAGTATACAACTCAAATGAGTGAGATAACCACAGAGTTAGTGAAAGCATCATCATCAGAAACAGTTTCAACTCCTACCAATGGTGCATTATCAACCCCAGCACATGAAGAGAGCACAAGGGACCACGTTACCTCTAAATCTACAAAAGAATCAACTTCCACATTGACAGTATCTTCTCTTTCAAGCTCTCCCAAGCCTGATGTAATGGTTCAGTTTGTTACTACTTATGTACCTGAACCAGATACGGCACAATCTGAGGTGTCCTTCCAACAGGCCCGCTCTGAGATCATGTTCACTCATCATCCACACATTGAAATCTCCTCTGAGAAAACTGTGTTGGCCACAACCAGCCCAATGATGCCAAGTGAGGAGTCAAGCCAGCACTTTGAACCTAGTGATGTGATTTCCCAGACTGCAATTACACCCTCATCACTGAAAGAGAAAACAGCTGAAGCACAGAGCCAAGCAGCTATGACCAACGAAGTTTCAACTGATGCTAGAGGTAGCACAGTTGAAGATAGTAAAACATCTGTTGACGACTCAATAACTTCCCATCTTACTGATCAAACTGTTTATTCTAAAGGGACAGAGCCTTCCTCTGCAGACTCAAGCTCAGTGGAAACATCTGCAGTGAGTTCAAGTGAACAAACTCTAGAAGCAACAGCTTCTTCACTTTCAATGCCAACAAAAGCGATGCCATCCTCAACTGTGTCCTCACCTTTTAGCACCGAGACTCCATTGGTTGCTTCCATTTCTGATGTCACTGATCGAGTGTCTTTTGAAAAGTCATCAACAACATTGCCCAAAACGGTGACAGGAAAGACAGGAGAGACTGCAACTTCCCCATCCACCTATCAAAAGTCAACTGCAGTGTCAAGTTTTTCAAGTACATCATCGGAGAGTGAGGACATCCCTGTTTTAACAGAAACAACTATGAGCATTTTAACAGAAGAAGAAGGTTCAGGTTCTGTCACTCCGGATGTTTCCTCTGTTTCCGGTACTATTGATTTGGATATAACCACAAGCACTTTATCACCTGAGATGGCAAACACCCAAACAGATCAACTAGAACCCTCTACCTCTGAACAAACCTCAGGTCCGAAGGCAACTGAGACCTTCATCACTGACGCTTATGCAACACAATACCGTGCTGTGACCAGCACTGAAGAGTCACCAAATACATTAACTTCTGTTGAATCAGGTTCAACAGCTTCTGAAAGTGAAGAGACACAAGATGCAGACCTAACAAGCACACATCAACCTATTGGTGTTACTCATGCAGCAGAAATCTCTATGAGTTCAGAGACTAAAGTAGTAGTCACCACAATGCCAACAGAACACATTTCCCTTGAATCTACTTCAAATGTTCCCTCAAAATCATCACCATCACAGCCTGAAGTCATGGTCCAATTTCTCACAACGTTTTCCCCTGCAGAACACCTAACCACTCCCCAGAGGTCATTTGAACAGGCCAGATCAGAGATTGCAATAACACACATGCCTCACACTGATCTTTCTTCTCATGATATATCACTGACCACGACTCGCCCTATGTTCACAAGTCATGAAGCAAACCAGATTACAGAATCAACAACTGTGCCCGCTACCTCTTCTTCTGTGGCTGAAGCTGTTTCTGCTTCAGTGGAAGATGAGACAGTTGAATCCTTGAATCCTGGTGCAAAGCCAGAACCATCTCCAGATACAGTTCACCAACCCACCTCTTTAGAAAATATATATAATGACAATACAGATTATCCCGTCCCAGATTATGAAGATCCAAACCTTACCATTGTTGAATCAACTCCACCATCCAATAAAACCAAAACATCACAAGACACAGCAGTGTTCCTTACTACACCAGCTGTTGCTCCTCAACCATCTGAGAGTCAACCTACTGACTCAGTAAGCAGTTCTGGAAGTAGCTCAGAAGAAAGGTCTTCTACAAAGTCTCCCGTAGAAGCAGCAGCAGCTATCACTTTCTTGCCTTCTGCTTCAGCTCCCGTCAGTACAGCATCCTCCTCTAGTTCTGAGAGTGGTTCAGAAAGCATTAGCAGCTCAGGAGAAAGCATGTTGATCAAGATAGATAATAATGAAGTTGCGAACGTCACACCTGAAATGATATCTGCCACGACTAGGTCACCATTTATCCTTAGCACTAGGGCTGAAAGTGGGTCCGTCAGTTCTGAGAGTGCATCCTCCAGCTCTGAGAATGTGTCTGATGAAATTACAATTACTACAAAGAAACCAAAGATCATCAATACGGAGCAACAGTCCCTGTCCCTAGATGAAATTCTGACAGTATTCAAGGTCAATGCTACGACAGCCTCAAAGATAGAGTCCACTAGTGTTGATAGTACCTCTGGTAAAGAAGATGAGAGCAAAATGGACGTCTCTACTTACACTGAAATACCCACAAGGACCCAAACAGAGTTCACAACGGCACCAGCTCAAGCCCAAAGCCATTCAGTTTTGGATGCATCTCTAGCCACCACTCCGTCATCTTTTTCTGAGGAACAACATAATGACACAACAGTCATTAAAGGAGAACCACCACTAACAGGGGAGGAAACAACTGCATTAGCTGACATAGGATTCGAGTTGGGGCACACTGTCGATGGCGAGACAGTCGAAATACAAGGTATGTCTTTTAACGGCTTATATTCCAATACAACAAAATGTGTATGCTCATAATAATTTCCTTTTCATGCAACTCTTATTACCCTTTTTCATGTACAGACTCGTGTACAGAAAATATTTGTCTCAATGGAGGATCTTGCTTCAAGAGTGGCAGCATCTATACGTGTAGCTGTACTCCTGGTTACGGTGGTTATCGCTGTGAAACAGGTAATAAACTGTCAATTATTTCTCTCACAATTTCTTATGGCCTTAACTTTGAACCAGGAAGCATCTGCCAAATCTTGTTTTAACTATATTTTGTTATTCATTATGTCTGTTTCTTATGTAGACATCGATGAGTGCCAGTCAAACCCATGCCGCAATGGAGGTACATGTTTTGATCGGCTGGCCTACTTTACTTGTGTCTGCCTACCAAGCTACTCTGGGCTGTATTGCGAGGAGGGTAAGTTTGTGGTTGGTTGGAATGATTCTCTTCTTGTCTTATTTTATTTCAGATAAACCCATTTTTTCATGTCATTATTATTCTAAATTGGTCCAGCTGTTCAGCTAAAATCTCTTAATTTAGTTTACACCATTTTTAAATTACATGATAAATAATTGTAACCTATGGGTAAGTCTTGAATTTGGTAACTTGTTAGGCAATTGTTACTCACGATTGCTGCCCTGGGAAATAAAACAGAAAATATAGACTGTGAATCAATAATGACACACTCACAATACATCTATAGAGCATTGTCTTCTGTTTCTCCACTGCATTAGCTGAATCAAAAACACTTTAATCATCTCATAACCACAATCTGAAAGTTGTGTCTGAAAGTACTTCAGGCACTCTTGAACTTTAGTTTCCACATGTTACAGACACACAGACATTCATTTCTCAGTGCTAGGTTAAATGCGGTGTACACTACACCTTAGGTATGCTAGACATTGAGTCACTCCTTAAAATGTATTCTGACATTTCTATATACCTATATAGTTTTCCTGTTATGGCCACCTTTCTTATCAAATGGGTTGAACCCAGGGCATCATCTGAATTCTGAATCCGATTAGTCTTGACCAGAACCAGAAGTAGGGATCACTCATCAGTGAATCACACCCGTGCGCTGTACTCAGACACAGTTGCTGTCTTAAAAGTTTTGCCAGGAGAACGTGAGAAAATGAAACAACCCAAAAAATGTTTTTCCTCAGTGCCTCGGAGGAGCGGAAGGAGTAAAATAATACTTTATATCTGAGGGAAATATACCATTGGTAGGGTCAATAAGAAGACACTATCAAGGTGTGACAGAGAAAAGTTCAAATGTTTGGTAAAATAATAGGAACATCTAAAAACAATTGAACCTTATCCCAAATCTATTTCATATCGCATCATCTTTTGAGTGTCTGGGTCTGACATCAATTTGACCTTTTTGCAACTCCATAGCTAATGCTCCATTCATTTTTCTGTCTGTAATTCGGAATCTTGATTTGTTGATTTGGTTTTGCAGTCTTGCTTACCTGTGAAGTACTCTGAAAAGAACCATACTCATCTACCTTTTGATGATAATTGGCACTGAATTACATTCCTTCTAGTTTTGCCTCCACCTCCTTATAGTGATGATGTTAAGGGCTGCAATAACTAATCCATAATGTTGTTCCCAGCCAGGTTAGAGTCAGAGATAACTGCAGGCCTGAAGGCTCAGTATATCAGGTGTTAGAGGTAGTTTGGATGCAGTAGATGAGATAATGTCATTATGTGGTGGAGGTGTAGATACATCGATTCATGGATGAAAGTAAAATAGGGTTCTTCCATTTTTTAAATGCATGTAATGTCTATCAATCTGTTGCAAATATGTACCTCATCCCATATTGCTTTCTCTACCATCAGATACAGAAACATGTGACTATGGCTGGCATAAGTTCCAGGGCCACTGCTACAAGTACTTCCCCCAAAGAAGAAACTGGGACACAGCAGAGAGAGAGTGTCGCATGCATGGGGCTCATCTCACCAGCATCCTCTCCCTCGAGGAGCAACATTATGTCAACCGTAAGTTAAAAATCACATTTGTAGACTATCAACAAGGGCAACACAAGATATTTATTAAACCCTTATCATTAAACACCAATTCAGCTTTACATTCAATGCAGGAAAAGTATTAATCAAAATGCTATCCCTATATCTTCCTATGTTTGAAACCAGTCCTGGACATTTTTCCAGAGGGAAACGCAATCTGCTGTAATTCACTCTTTCTTCTATGGCAGGTCTTGGACAGGACTACCAGTGGATTGGCCTGAATGATAAGATGTTTGACAGTGATTTCAGCTGGACTGACGGCAGACCTGTGGTAAGATACTTTCTCACCTTTTTTTGTCTCAAGAAATGTGGCACAGAGACAGGTTAAACATGTGTAAAAGCTGCCAATGATAGACACAGTCATCTTGGGAGAGTTATTATTATTTGGGTCTTTGGTGACTTTCTCATGACGTTCTCTCCTGCCTCACATTGTTACACACTGATGGGTGGCTGCTTTGTTATAGCACATATCGTAAGGTTGTTTTTAATAAGTGTCAGTCCAGTACAAGAAAACCAATAGTTTCAAAAATACTTGAAGATAAATCTAATTTAGAGGAGATGGCACAGATTGGAAATGCATGCTGCTAATATATGCAGTGTTTAAAAACAGCACAGAAGTGGAAACATGTTTAGGATAGTAATCAGCTGCTGAAAATTCCCCTCACTAGATAGGAAAGTTTCTAATGACTATGTGCATCCGTGTCGTACAGATAGATGTCCTCACTTTAAAGATAATCATCCAGGAACAGAGATAGGGGAAGCATAGAGGCAGCCTGGGGGTAAAAAGACAAGCAGAGGCTGCCTATGGGGACCCTTGCTCAGCTGAGAGATTGAGGGGGGTTGAGGGTGTGAGTGAGACTGTGTAGAGGGGAATTTGGCAGGCGTGGACAGGAAGGATCCCCCTTCAACCCTCACACATATCAGAAGGTCCAGCCAGTAGACAGCCACCCGGGGGAAGGGCTACCAGGCAGGCAGACACACAGATGGACAGCACCTGTGCTTGGCCGCAGAGAGACAAAAACATTGGAAGCAGCCCAGGGGACCTGGGTGGGTGGTCCCCTCTAGTTGATCTAACTATTAAACATGGATACCTAATAAATAACAGTAACATGTTTGCTTTGCAAACATTAAAATATATTTCATTATTATCAACCGAAATGGTCAGGTTGGTGTATCTTTGGTTGTGCGTGTGGGTGATCAAAGTTTGTGTGATTGTTTTGAGTAGGATGCAGGCCTGCTGTGCAGTTGATGGGTCACCCATTTGTAACTTTTAGTGAGCTGAGCAGGAAGTCAGTGTGTGTTTGTTAACCATAATGACAGAGTAGCAGAGCCTCAAGGCATGATCGGAGTGGGTGGGTGATGGGGGTCACAGCTTTGAAGAGGCTGTTTGAACCTTGAATGTGCTGAAAGACTTCAGGTAGCAGCGACTCCTGGTTGAATGCCCCACAGCACTACAGCTGTGTGTATACTGTATTACTTTGTAAATGTACATCTGTGTTCGTTGGGATTATTGCAGACTACACATGTAATGCTAGGTATGCAGGTGTGACGTAATAACATTGCGTTTATGGTTTTTCATTCTAATGCAGCCCTTTTGGTCAGTACCTGTGGCATTAACTGTATACCGATCATTTCCCATATGAAGTGACATGTAAGTGTGTTGTTGTTCGTTATGAATCGTAGTAAAGGGCAATGGACACTGTCTTTTAGAAACCTGTCAAATCACTGTTATGGCTGCTCATTCCACAGCTTACAATTAGATTTGCTGAACATAGTTGGCAACACCACTTTAAGATTTTTGGTGTAGGTATAATAGACTATATTTACAATCAAAGTTCTTAATTCTCTGCTCTTATTTCAGCAATATGAAAACTGGAGACCCAACCAGCCTGACAGCTTCTTCTCTTCTGGTGAGGATTGTGTTGTGATGATATGGCACGAGGACGGCCAATGGAATGATGTTCCTTGCAACTACCATCTGACCTACACTTGCAAAAAGGGCACAGGTAAAAAGGACTTTGGTGTTAGCACATATCCTCTTTTACTTTACGGCATGTGTTTTTGAGAGGAGAAAGGTCTTCTGTTACTGTAAAAAATACTCACTTTAAATGTTATCATCACCTCTGATTCTCAGTGGCCTGTAACCAGCCCCCTCTGGTGGAGAATGCACGTACCTTTGGTAAAAAGCGTGAGAGGTATGAGATCAACTCGCTGGTGAGATACCAGTGTCGAACAGGCTTTATTCAGAGGCACGTCCCAACTATCCGTTGTCGTGGAGATGGACGATGGGATAGCCCTAAAATAGCCTGCAATAACCGTAAGTACAAAAAATAATATTCTTAGTGTCTCTTACTGTTTAGGATTTTGACAATTACAATACGTGTTTTTTTAACTAATACATCCTTTTTTTTCTAACAGCATCAAGCTATCAGAGGAATGTTTTCCAAAAACATCAACACAAGAGTCTCTACAGCGTAAACAACTTTAAAAGTTCTCCGGACGCAGCCTTTCACCATCAGCGCTACCGGGGAAGAAGAGAGAGAACTGAACATAAGCAGAACAGAAAGTAATGCCATTTAACGGGGCACAGCTTCCCCTGGACAAGAACACATGGCTGATGCTTGTGTGAAAGAGGAAAACGATTCCCCAAGAAAAAGCACATGAGAAAACTCATCAAAAGAAACCAGGCGGATAACCTGCAGCTTTTGTTGCGTTTTGGATGACAATGGAATCTTATCAAGTGCCTTTTGAAAAGATGTTGATACATAACTTTTCTTATCAAGGAGCACAGTTTTATAACAATGCCAATGTGGATTTAACACTTTCAGCTGGCTACTGGAAAAGCAAAAAAGTGTACTCATTCTTTTTAAACTGCGGACGTTTTTTATTTTTCCAGCTTATCAAATAATACATTCATGACTGTTGTCTAATGACTTGTACACCAAATGTTTTATTTAAAATCACCATAAGTATTCCTTATTCATAGAAAAAAAAGCTGTTGTGAAAATATAGCGCTTATGTTATGTAAAGCAATCCATTATGTTGTCGTGCTGTTTTAAGCTGGACTTCATTTTAAAGAGCATGCATGCATATGCAGATATAAATATATTGAAGTCCTCACATTTTAACCATGTTTATTCTGTGTCAAGACATCCAAATTCCCACTACACAATTGGAGCCATGGAAATATTTAGAGTCCAGATTATTAACAGGCCCATGTCTGTGATGGAGACCTTCAACTTCCATTCGTCAATGGCTGTCATCAATGTGTTGTCAGGATAATGTTTATGAAAACTTTTCTTTACACAGACATTTTTTAAACTTATTAATATTATTTTGTGTGATTTTAAGCAATTTAATATGAGAGATTGTTCTCTAAGTACTTACGGACAAAGCCTTTATCCACTGATCAAAGTTGATGTCCATCACTACTTTCAAATGAAAGATGGAGGTGTCTCAGCAGCCTGTATCTTCTGCTCCTGTGTGTTCAGTGCAAAACTGAGTTGCCACAGCATGTTTACAATAACTTTATTGCAGTTTATAATTACACACCAAATAGTCCTGCTCTCATCTGTTGCTGTTGTGCTGTAGCCTGTGATGGTTTTTCTAGGTTATGCTTTTCTTCGGGACACGTAACCTTTCTGTTATTGTGATCGATTAAAATCAGCCTTTGAGAGAATGTATTTTGTGAAACACTCAAAAAGACTTGAACATTACGGCTGTTTAGGAACAGATGCATATAATTTATTTTCAAGCTGCTCTTGAACTCCTTACTTGTTCTACACTTACAGATACATGTGATTCTATCCCCTGTCCCAGCTGTACTCTTCATATATTTCTATTGTATGATCAAGAGGAGACCAGCCACAATCACAGGCTGTTGGAAGCGGATGGATCTTTAAGGCCAGCAGTGGACCAGAGACTATAGCCCCATTGGCTGCAATAATGTTCTGTAAAATTAACAACACACTTTTACATGTGTATGTTTGTGTATTTCTCCAGCATTTTTAAAGGGAAAATGTATTTGTTTTGTCTGCCTGTGAATGTCAGTGTGTGTGCCTTAATGTGCACATAACATCATTTTCTATTTAAACTGTTTTTTATTTTTTTTTATTTTACAATGTGAATGTCTGGGATGTTTGTGAATTTTTTTTAAAGAGCTCAAAGTGTTTTTTTTCCTGCTTTAAATCACCAAAGAAATAAAAATAAATATATGGATATTCTATACTAATAACATTTCATTTGGACTTTTTAAGGAAATGTTTGGGAAATGTATTGGAAAGCATTGTACAGTGTTTGAGAGTTGTGCATGTTCATTTTTACGATTCAATTCAACAGAAATTCAATTAGCAATATGTTTGTTTTTCAGTTTTGTAGCGCTTTTATGGAGAAGCCACCTTTTAAAAGTATCTATGTTCAGTATTCCAATAGGCAGTTAAAGAGGCTAAATGAATTCAGATGTCCTCATACACCAAGATACATTTTGTATTGAGTAAGTAGTGTGGGTGTTTCACCAGCAGGTAGCACTATAAGACTAGACCATAAACCTGACATTTTGTCTGCAGAATACCAAAGACAAGGGTAGACCTTTCATTGAATTCTGTAAAGCCACCACACAAAATATAAACATAATATATGGAATTAACACTGAATTCTGTGAATCACAATCAAGCTTTGCAGAGGATCATACCAATGTTCAAAGTAGTGTCGCTTCTTGCCCCTACATAAACAAATCAGACATGCAACAAACCTCTTGGTCGACAGACAGTACATTCAGGGGGAGTGGAAAGGAAATGGGAGATGTGAATTATAGCTAACATATGGAGTCAGAATTGGATTAAGGACGCTTGTTCTGAAATGGCTGATGCTGCAGAACTGTGGACTTGCAATTACAATACAGTTTTCCGATAACATGGCTGTTTGTGGCTCCTATGGAATGTAACATATTTGTCATGCCTTCATGGCCGTGCATTAAGGAAACAGATAATTCAACTGGGTGTAAAAACAGAAGCTGCTTTAGTACATTACAATGCACCGCTGTTCCCACTGGCCTCTTTACACTGATTGGAAGTTGTCAGTGATATCATAATATGCCTAATATCAAAAAGCAGCATTACCAGTGTAATAACATCAAGTTGGTTTATGTAATCTTCATGTCAGTATGGATTGCTGGTTTTTGCTGTGACTGCCAACTGATGTCATTAAGAGCAGACTTGACTTGTGATTAAAGGCGGCTCCTGGGTGCCCCAGCAGGAGTAAAACCATACTCTTACCTCATAAAATGTCTCATGGGTGATCAGTGGAAAAACCTGGCCCTCTCAGCCCATTTCTCTCTGGGGTTTAACAGGCTTACTCGGTTTGTTTTGGAAAGGAAACCCACCCTGGCTCCTGATTTTGTTTCCATTTGCCAGGTGTCTAGTTAGTTGCAGAGTATCTATCATTCGCTCGCATTGGAGAAGCTTGTCTTTTGGGCTTTCTGAAAGAAATCTTAAATTGAAAGAACAAACATACTTGGTAAGTTTTAGAAGGAGATCATGTTTGGGCATTATTCATTCCATAATCTGCTATATTTTCCAGTCACATTAGTTACTCTGGAGTCCTGTAAGTGACAAGCTTTTTGGATGTAGCATCTCCAGACTTCATGGGAGTCAGCCAACATTTATTGGTTGAAGCCACAAAAGCAAACCAAATAAAATCACTCAGCAATGAAACAGAGGTGGTCCACAAGAGCCTCAATTCACCATTTCTCACCAATTGAACTGTCTGTTTCTAGCATAACCAAACTAAAGGAAAAATAAAAGTGTCACTATGCTTAAACTGTACAGGCACAAAGTGTGCATGAGTATAGTTTACTTCTCAAATTTGAGGATTCAATATCATAATTACATTTCTCTATGCTGAAAAAAGTGTAAAACCTTTACTGCAAATTCTCAGTTTCTTCTGTTGCTATCTAGTATAGCTTCCACTGAACAACAAGCTTGCTTCAATGGACTTTTTACCACAACACACATTTACATTTCACTGCTGTATAAACCTTAATCTGACCCCATTCCCATGCATTTCCACAAGCAGTCTTAAGCACTGTGTTACTATACCCTTTGTCTAACTTAATGGTGGGCGGGCATGCTGGCACTGAATAAAAAATGCCAAAGAATACATAAATGTGAGAAAAGTTTAATCTTAAATCCTCTCAACGACATGGGTTCATGCCAGATACATGGCCCCTTATTTGGCAGCTTTAACAATACTGTTGCAATCTGCTTAAACCTCTACGTCCTCACATACTGCATGTTGATTTGGTTGTAGTGGAAGTAAAAAAAGAATCAAATTTAATGTAAAAGTCGTATTCTTTATTTCAAACTGTTTTTTTGTAAAAAGGTAGCCTCCATGGCGATAAGATACAAACATACCTTCACTTTTTTCATGCACAAGTGTTTACAAATGCACAAATGTGAGACAAGTTTTGCTTTTAAAAACAAGTAATCACCATTTTTTCACATGTAGCCTGCAGTAAGTACCCTAACTCAGTGCCCAGGGTTACAAAAAGTAAAACACGAAATATCAAATCATTTTTTTAACGGTACCTAAAAAGGGTGCTGTCGTCTAGATTTCTTTATTACCAGATAATGGTTCAGATCATAGTTACTGCAGCATACCTTTAATGAATCGTTTCACTAAGAGGGACCGCCAGTATTACTTACTGTGATATTAAATGCTTTGTTTGTCTTAGGGAAGGACTACAAATGTGAGGGCTATAAAAGGTTGTGTTCAGGGTATCAGAGGAAAATCTGTACATATTCTGCATTCACTATGGCTGAAATCGTGCTGGTTTGTATTGTTTTCTAAAAACTAAATTTCACCCAAAATAATCTGCAAGTGAGAGGATTAGTTTTTCCGTCTTTAAAAATAAACATGTCATGGAAGAAACTATTACAAAATGTTTTATAATAAATGTTAAAACAAGCATGGTTACAATAGTACAACTGTCTTTCAAATTGTAACGAAGATGATGTAATGGGAGCTATAGATGCAGAATAGATCACAGTCCATCAAGACATTTAAATTCATTTTCTTGTTAAACAGTACATTTCTCAGGTTGAAAATATGTCTAGAGCTTTACAGGGCAAACAGAGCTTTACTCTTATAAGAGAATGATCCAGTTTAATGCTCAATTAAATCGCTCAATAGTGGTAGTTTTGTTCATGAGTCTTTAATCAATCTTAGGTATTTCATCGATGTGATACTTGATAAATGCATAGCTTATTACATTGGTCTTTTCTTAAGATCATTGTCAAAGCAGCAAATATCATCTGCACATGAGCATGAATGCTATTAATCTTGAACTTCACACATCTGATCATTCAGTGGAGGACAAATCAAACTGAGATAATGTTTCACAACAATCAAGTTTTAATCTCTGTCACATCACTCATATTAACAGTGTCGCATTTACCCCAACAGTCTGTTTAAAATGAATGAATGCACAGTCGAGAAAAACAAAACTTAATGGCTACAGAATATGTTGTCAGTCATTGCATATGGAAGTAAGATGTACAGTATTTGTTTTTAAGGAGTTAAAGAGGGTTATCACAGCTTCAGAAAGGTATTCATGCTAGGTAAGATCCAAAGCTAATCTGCTTTGTTGTTGTTTTTATTTGTTGTGGTTGTTGCTGCTCTTTGGTGGTTATGACTTCCCTTTTCCTAGCTAAAGCCTTACTGCTCCTTGAAACAGTAGACACCATAAGACTTTTGAGTCTTGTCTGGGAATCCAAGAAGGCGCACTGCAGCTTCTTCGGGACTGCAGTTCTTGCGGGGCCTGGAAATGGGGTAGCGGACACTTCCGTCAGCCAACCATCCGGCATCGCAGCGATCGTAGCTATCAAGCTTCCAGGCGGAGTATATGTGGCCCACCTTGGCGATCTCTGCACCATCGTCTAAGCATGCCTGCACGGCCTCATCAAAGGTCAGCCTGTCGGGTTGAACCA